TTATTTGACTTTCCCCTTAAAATATGAAAAATAAGTAAATAAATTTAAAATATTAGTTTTTTATTATTTTTGATTATTCATTTAACTGCTCCGTTAAAATGCTCTAATAACATGCTCTCATTTTTTTAAAAGCATACCCTAGCCTTGAATTGAACCTTAAGCCTTATATCTTAATAAAAATTTGGCATTTTTTGGTGATGTTATTACCCAAACAGCGATGTTTTTTCTCAATATTTTTTGCTTAATATGCTTTAGTTTTAATTAAATATTCAAATTATTATCATAATTCAAAATAGAATTTCCTTACACTTTCTCAAAAAAAGAAAGGATATAATAAACAAATGACGAATCTGTAATTATAAATAAATCACCCTTATTAGCTAATTATACAAGAGAAGTAGGGACGTATATACTTTTTTTAATAATAAACATTTACCAGTTTTTTTGTATCATATGCTTGCAAACTTTTTACCCAACCCTTCTATCTCTTGAAATATTCATTATTTCATAAATACATTGAAAATCAAAATCAAAATCATTATATATATATATTTTTTATAAGTTTTATTGAGACAATATTTTCAGTGACCAAAAAAACAAAAAAACACAATTAAGGTTGCTTACACATGGTGACTTAAATAACTAGTTCTCTCCTTTTCTTTTGAGATTGAGATAATATGTATGGAATATGGATAGTTAAACCAGAGATTCGACCTAATTATTCTCTCCTTCATCTCTAAATCTCCGCCAAGCACAAAAGTAAGTGACAAGCAAATTAGAAAAGTCTACATAAACCATCGTCATGCGAAGCAGATAAATGGAAAATGGAGTCATCATAGCACCCACCATTCTCTATATGCTCTTTTAGCCGACGACAACCGGCCACCAGTTTCTCCTGCGTAGCATTAGAGCCCGTTTAATATTGTATTATATAGTGGGTTTTTTTAAAAAAAATATATTTTGTTTAGAAATATGAGCCCGTTTAATATTGTATTATATAGTGGTTTTTTTTTAATATATTTTGTTTAGAAATACATAGATACAATTTAAAATTATATAAAAAGAAATTAAAATAAAAAATATTTAAAAATATTTTTGAAATATAAAAACAAGTAAATTATTAATATAACAAAATGGGTTTGGTCATCGCAGCACCCAAATGTGTGCTTGCATTTCAATTTCCTTGAACTTTCACTTCAAAAAATTCTGTTGATTGCTGCCTCAAATATGTTTGTTCATTTCAGAGGATAATAAAGTAAAACGATTCACACACTGGTCAATGTGAAACTTGGACACTTTGATCCATGTTAGGACATCAGTAGCATTTATTAATTTAATGATGTTTCAGCTTGTTCGGTGAGCGTTGTCGGCTACATTTGTTTTTGGGTCTGATTTAATTTGTGGAAAAATAGACTGCATGTATCACACGGCTCTTCATTGGCCCCACTTAGCTCTTTGGAAAACTTGAATGGAGGTCGGTGGATCCGCAAGGTTTCTGTGTCGATCTGTAATTACATTATAATACTTATCCTGTTTATTTACTAAAAAATAATTTTATTTTTCAAAATAAATTTTAAAAAAATAAATTATTTTTTAATATTTAGTAGTATAATTAAAAATAAATTGAAAAATATTTTTTAGTGTTTAGTTATGTCATGAAAAATAATCTGAAAAATAATATATTAATGTTTTATTTTTTTCAAGTTTATTAAAATTATAAGAAATAAATATTAAAAATTTAAAAGTTAAATAACAATAAATTTAAATTTTATAAATTATCTTAAATAAAATAAATAATAATTAACATGATAGAGATCAAATCTAAAAAATAAAAAAATTAAAAGATAAAAAAATTAAAATAATAATAATTAACATTTCATAAATTATTTCAAATACAATAAGTAATAATCAAAAGAATAAGGATGAAATTTAATAGATAAAAAATTATAATTAAAAAATAATAAGAGAAAAGTAAATAAAAATTATAAAAATCAAAATCAAAATTAATATAAAAATAAATTCTAATAAATGAAATTAAAAAATAAATATTCAAAACAAAATATATATAGCAATCAAAAGTTTGAGAACCAAATTTGATATAATCAGTAAATAATATAACATTTTTAAATTTTTTCAACTTCCGGAAAGTGTTTTCCTTTCAAAATAAAAAAAAAAACACTTTTCTCCAAATCAAGTTAAATTTTTTTGATCGAAAAGTTTTTCTGTTGACCGAAAAGTATTTTTTATTGATCAATTTTTTTAATGATAAACAAATATAAAAAAAATAAAAATTAATTTTTTAAAAATTACTTTTCTAAAACAAACACAACCTTAAATCATTTTGTATTCAGTAACTAATTTCTTCCAGTGAAGAAAGAAAAATGAATTTTCCTTAATTACAATAATACAGGTGTCCTTAGGTAAATACAAAATTTGTTGGACCTTTCTAAAACGAAAGTCCATTTAATGAAACAGTGATTTTGCTGGTGAAAACACAATGCTGTTTTCTTCGAAGCTCGCAAAAATGATGTAGTTTTGGTGGAAAACTGTGTCGTTTCTACAGTACAAATAATTGTTTTCTTACGGGGTGTTCTTCCAACTCACACATGCATGGAAAACTGCATTTGCAGGAAATTCTAAGAAATATCAAGTGTAAAAATATTCTGTGCTAGTTTTTTTGAGAGTATTAATTTAAATATATATATATATATATATATATTTTATATTTTTTTTTGCTGTAAATAAGACGATGATGTTTTGTCTCTTATGCCTTCTCTTTGCTGGCCTTTTGTTTTCGTACTATGAAAGAGAGATTTTTTAAAAGTTTTCATTAAGTAGCATAAATGAAGCAGCATCTCAAACAAGTGGTTGTTGACAATTAGGAGTAATTATCTCCAAATTAGTTCTTCGTCATTAAAGCTTTTGATTGGTCTCTAATTATAGATGCTAACTATATAAATAGACTAGAATAGCTGGAATTCTTGTAAATATTTGATTGTATTTCAGTAGTTATAATTTCTTTATATTAGTCAATCACAGTCCTAAACTATAGGATTTATTACAATTGTACACAACAATTATTTATACCAATTAAGTTGAAAAGAAATGGAATTTAAAACCTTTTCTTAATGATATTTTTCAATTTTTTTTTAAACTTTAAGAAGTTATCAGATTATTTATTTTCATATTTATATGTTATACCTATTTTGTCATATATTCAAACTAAATTTATAAAGAACCTAATGGCAAGTGCATATATCTCATTTTAATTCTCAATCACTAGATTATTGTCACAAGCTATATGTTCCAACCAATTTTTTTAATATAAATAAAAAAAAAATTATAAAAAAAACACTCAAACTTATGATCCAAAAATAACTTGAATAACTGGTAATAATTTAGTTTTGATTTTAAAAATACAAACCCATGATGATTTTTTTTTTGTAAATATATGATAAATTAAAATTGAAAATGATATTTTAATTGAATTTTTATCAACAATTTATTATTGTATATCAAATACATAATAATTGAAATATTTTTGTTAAAAATAAACTAAAAAATTATAATATTATTTAAAAACCATTTCAAAATTAAGAAAGTAAGTGAATTAACATTTTTATGTTGAAGAAAAAAACAAAGAACAAAAAAGTAGAAAAAAAATAAATAGAAAGAAGGCTACCGTGGCATAACCCTTAGGAGAAGGCAAGACTCATGTGTCTAGCATTTCTTTTTTGAAAAATAAAATGTACACCACGTTAGATGATACGTTGTTCACTTGCCCAAATTTCAATATAATATTAGTAAAAAATTGGATAGAAAATTGATAAATTGGATAGAAAATTGATTTTGTGTTTTCGGACCAAAACAACTAATTTTTAAATTAATTTTTCATCTTAAATTACTTGAAAAGCGCACTACAAATTAACCTCAATAAACCCTTACGTGCCTTTAAGTAGAACAAAATTGGTTAAAAACCAAAAATTCAAACGAGGGCATAAATCTTCGTACTTTCTGGTAATATGAGGATATAAAATTACTGTTACAAACTTTTCATATCAAATAAAATATTTTAACATTAAATTTAATAATTTGGTTGCGGTAACCAACTACTTTTTCTCTCTCTAACCCTATTTTTTGGAGCTATGTTTCTCTCTCATTGAAGGATAAGAAAATGAACTTTAGAACCATAATGAAATTTGGTGAATACACGTGGGTAGCCATCAATTCTATCCTTATTTTACCTTTCAATGCTCAAATGTTTAATTTGATATTTTTACCATAAGTTCAAGTCTTATTTCATCCAAGTAGGTTAGAAAAGGGACATAATTGATAGAAAAAAATAAGTTAAAAATAAAATAAAAAAATGAATTTTTGAACAAAAATAAAATTTAACTTAGAATATTAGATTGGTCATTATAGTTCTTCATGTTTTTCACTTTGGTTCGTCATTGATGTTTTTCAATCTTTGATAAAACTTGACAAATTGGTCATTAATTTGACCTTAAAAGGATTCAAAATGAAAAAAAAAAAAGAAGAAGAAAAGCTACAATAATTTTCCTAGGACTTTTAGCATATGTTACAATGTTCTTTTATAAAAAAGTAATTTTCTTAGTCGTTGTGTTGCACGAAAAAATGTTACTTCAAGTCAATAGAAAACGAAATAAATATTCAATGGTATTAATTAGGCAGCCGTTGTGATGGAATGGTAACAAACGCTACAAAACTACAAAGACGTCATTCGCTCAGTCCTTATTAAGGTTGGACATGCAATACAACTTGCTGAGTGGGGCCTTTTTCCTTCGGTCTGTAGTTGTAAGAAACTAGGCCTCGCTAGGCAGCATAACAAGCATGGCAAGTTCAGGAAATATGTTGGTGTAACCTTCGAAGAAAAGTTACAAATTCAAAATAAGAGAAATCTTTTTTAACCTTCGAAGAAAAGTTACAAATTCAAAATCAGAGAAATCTTTTTTTTTTTTAAATATTTGAGAATAAGATGCTAGTAATCTCTCAATTGGTAGGAGGTGTTAGACATTAAAAAAAAGATGATGGAAGGTCTAATAAATTTTGAACTACACAACGAAAATAATATATAGTTCTTCCCTAACATTAAATCCTCATTTATACCTCTAATGATCTAAACCTAAAACCCAGAAAGACTCAAGTTTTAAGGCCTAGAACGTTTCCTTGGTTACTGCATATTTGTTTTAGATGGCGTGTGCTCTATCCACCCAGCATGGAACGAAAAATCCAAGAAACACAAAGGTATGTAACAAGTAAATTAGAAAAGTCTACGTAAAAAGTCACCATATAATGCAGATAACAAGAAGGTAGCGTCACTATAGCTCCCGCCATTCTCTATATGATCTTTGAGCAGATGATAATTGGCCACAAGTCCCTCCGGCAAAACCCTAGTCCTGCAAAGTGGGCATGTAGCCAGGTATTCTTCTAGCCATTTGTCAAGGCAATCCTTGTGGAAAGTGTGCTTGCATTTCAATTTCCTTAAACTTTCACCTTCCAGAAACTCAGACAAACACACCGCGCATTCTCTTGATTCGTGATGCCTCAAGTTTTCACTGTAACAAATAGTTGGGTTTTTCTCTTCAACAAGGTTGAAATATTGAGTGGTAATTATGCGAAAAAGTTTATCAGAATGTGTGACCATACTTCCGGGCACGGCGGATCGGATTAGGAGGACAGCTTTTAGAAGAAGGAGATCGAAAAGGGCTATGGCTATGGTGTAGAGGTAAGAGAGGAGCTGGAAGAGAGAAGCCATGGTTGCTCATGAAGAACGGAAGAAGGGCTTAAAATTGAAGTTCATACAACACAAGTGCTTTACTAGTTAATCTGGGTTCAAGCACAACTGCTTCTTGTTTGGTCCATTTTCAATATTTATTAAAATTAAGACATTGATGCTTGGGATGTCAGTCATGTCACATAACTCAAGTAACGACAGGCGAGGAAGCCCGTCACGATATTACAATGAACATCTGACCGGTGGTGACTTCTATGGTCAAGGCGAAGCCGCTGGGTGTCTTACAATCCATTAATGACCCCACTTGACTTTTTTGGAATTTAATTATTGTTCACGAAAAGATTTAAAGTTTTTTTTTTTTTATTTTAAATACCGATAATTTTGCTAAATGGACTCCTCTAGATTTAGCTAGGTTGTCTAATTTTGTGAATCAAATTAGTATACGTGCAGACAGAAAATTAGATCCACAGAAAATATATGTTTTGTTTATTCTGGATCACAGGATCATGTAGAGGTTGGTCGTAAGAACCGTAACATTTTTTATTTTTTTTTGTAATTAGTGAGCAAATTAATATAAATAATCATATATACAAGAAAAAACTTTAAATATACATCACTTGCAAAGTAAATTCCAAATAGTTCAAATGTCTAAGAGTCACAGAATAAATAAGAAAATAAAAGGCCTATAAATAGTATTATAAATTCTAATATTTTAATTTTTAGAATTAGATGAAATTAAAAATTATATTACATAAATAAATAAATAATGGATTTTTTTCCATTTTTTTGTTTTTAATTTAATTTTTTTATTTTTTATTTTCAGATTTGATCCAATTTTAGAGCTTGGAATACAAATATTATATGCTTGAGTTAACACTAATCAGATAAAATGCTAAGTTTGCTTACGAAAAGGATCACCAAATAATTTATCCATACACTGATTCTATTTTGATAAATAATTCAAGGGTTTGACACATTTTATCCTAACAAAAACAATAAGTAACAAATTAAGATTTAAAAAATAACTTGTGTTAACTTTTTAAATCCATGACTTACGGCAATAGACACAAGCATCTTATTTAGAAAAACAATAAAATTTAATTCTCAATTAATTATATATTGAAAGATAAAATTAAAAAAAGAATTTTAATTATACAAAAAAATTTAAAAAATTGCAATTAAATAAATGAGGATCAAAATAAATTTTATATTTGAATGAAAGGTGAAATTAAAAATAAAAATAAATTTAATAAATAGATAAAAAAATTAAAAGAATGAGAATCAAAATTGATATAAATAATAAAAATATTTTTTTTGATTGAAAGGTGAAATTAAATAGAATAATAATTTTTACAAAAGAGCTAAGAAAAAAATTAAAAATGAAAGCAATAAGAACCAAATTAAAAAAACATAATACTATCAATTTGGGTTAACACATGTCATTGAAAGATTAAGATCAATCCAATTTGTTATTATCTTAATAATTTTTTTTAAAACATTTGTCATCTTGAATTTGGTTTTTAAAAATTAGATCGTGTTTTTACCAGTTATCAAGATTTCATTTGAATTAATAAAATTAATTAATTTAATTCGAGTTATTCAAGCACTGTTTAGTTGGAAACTCAAGTTTAGTAAATGGTTAAGTAATGAGGTCTCAAGATTTACTCATTAAGCCGGATTTAATAACACAATCAAAATTTTTTTCATGCTATTAACACTTGTTTTGACCTTTAAAAGAATTTGTTTGACCTGTAGCGGAATACAGGCCAATAAACTAGTTAACTATAAACTAAAATGAAGAGGGAGATTTACTATATTCTTCCTCACAAATTACTATTCATTAGAACAGTACAAAAATAATGACTTGAGTTATTATTATGCTTTTTATTTGAAGTGACCTAATAAATAGCATATTTTTTTTTTAGTTAAATTATATTTTTATTGGTCATTTGGATTGTCTTTGAATCTGTCAAGTCGACTAGGTCACTTCAAGTCATTCTCTATATAATTTTAATTTTTTCTCTTTTGAAAATACATTAATCACACTTTAATATTTTTTTATATTAAAAAAATTAATTTGACAGAAATATACTATTTATTAAATCACTTCATTATGATATTTTTATTCAATTTAATTTTTTAACATTGAGTTTATTGAGAATTAGACTTCATGATTTTTTTTAGTTATTTTGGCCTCATCCCTTGAAAATTATGCTTAATAGGTTAATCCGAGTTGAATCGAGTTGTTTTTTATGTTTATTTTTTAATTGATTGTTTTCTCAATTTTATCATTTAACAATGGATTGGTTTAGAATTGAGTTTCATAATTTGTTTTGATTTGCTTTCTATGAGTATATCTTGATCTCGTAATCAAGGTCACGGGTTGTGACAATTTAACAACTGTTAAATCAAGTCTTTTTTTTTTAAATGTTTTTTTTCTAAAAGGTTATCTTGGTTTCATGACTCGGGTCATGAGTCATTTAATATTGTTTTTTTTATTGGGTTGTCCTCATATTATGACTCGGGTCGTGAATTTATTTTTTTGCCTATTTTATTTTTGATTTTCTTTATTTAATATTGTATTTGATTATGAATTAGGCTTAACAATTTATTTTAGAGTGCTTTTTATTAAGTTATCCCAACATCACCTGAGGAATAATGCTTAATGGGTTAACTTAGGTTGACCTGACTCATTTTTTATGTAATTTTTTAATTGAAACTTTTACAAATTTCATCATTCAACATTAGGCCTGACATAAGTAATTGAGCTTTAAAGTTTATTTTGATATGTTTTTTTTTTTGAGTTATGTCAGTATTATAATCAAGTTGTAAATTTTACAAGTCAACCCTAGGTTAATTCAAGTAAGTTTTTTCTATGAGCTTATCTTAGTCTAATATCCTAAGTCATGAGTTCAGAGGATTGACTGTGACCATTTTTATGTTTTTTTTAATTGATTTTTTTAATCTCTTTTTTCAATATTGAGTTTATTGAGGATTGAAATTTATAATTTATTTTGATTTGCTTTTCATTCAATTAGTTCAGTTTTATGACATGGGATGCTGGTATGAAAAATTAACTAAGGTCGCATTTTAGGTACTTTTTATTTTTTTTCTTAATTTTATCCTTTAACTTTGACTTGATTGAAAATTAAGCTTCATAATTTATTTTAATTTGTTTTCTATTATGTTATAATAGTCTCATAACTCGTGTCATGAATTTAACATGTTAACCCGGGTTGACCTAAGTTAATCCAATATGTTATCTTAATTTTTTTTAAATATCATTTTGAAATTATTTTTAGTCAAATTATATTTTTATGGGTCGTTGGGGTTGCTTTTGAACCCATAAAATAAACTAGGTTAAATTGATTTAACCTTTACATGGTTTAAAAATTTTTCCAATAGAAAAAAAATTAGCAACATCTGAATATTTTTTTATATTTGAAGAAAAATTTAATCTAACCTGTAACATAACGTGGGTCAATGATCTAGCAATATACTAAAACTCCTTGGCATTTCACTTTATATTGAATAGTGAAATGCCAAGTCATTTTGCATGTTAGTCCTTCAAAAAAAAATGAAAACATTTTTTTTAGCTTTCAACTTATTTTTTTAATTTTTTTAATCATCCTCCATCACTAAGTTTTCTTGGTATTAAACTTTATAATGTATTTTGATTTATTTTTTATGAAGTTATCTCAGTCTTATGATTCAGGTCTCGAGTTTTGTGAATTAGCCATGTTGTCTCAGTTTTTTTTTTCATTTTTCTCTTAACTTTATCTTTTAATATATTGTATTGATTGAGAATTAGAATTTTTAATTATAATTATTTTTTGATTTACTTTCTGTGGGGTCGCGAGTTTTGCAGGTTGGTAAGGTTGACTCTATTTGTTTTTCTTTTCTAATTATTATTTTTTCAATTCCATCCTTCAATATTGGATTAATTGAGAATTAGACTTTATATTTTTTTTTATTTTCTTTCTATGAATTTATCTTGATCTCCTTACCCAAGTTTGATAAATTAACTCAGGTTGACTTTGACCATTATTTTTGTTTTTTTTACTTGATCTTATTTTTAATTTAATCCTTCAACATTGACTTGATTGACAATTAAGTTTCATACTTCTTTTATTTGCTTTCTATTGTGTCAAGTTCTTATAACCCAAGTCGCATGTTAAACTAGTTGAATTTTTTTTTTTAAGTTGATTTTTTTTAATCTCATTCTTTAATATTAGATTGACACAAAATTATACTTTATACTCTTTTTTTTAGTTTGCATTCTAGAAGGTTATATAGGCTCATAATCCGGATCATAAGTTTGTTTGGTTGACTTGAGTTGTTTTTTTATCTTTTTTTTTTTAAATTTCATACTTCAACATTTGATTGATTGTGATTTAAGCTTCATAATTTAATTTGATTTGTTTTTTATAGGGTTATCTTGGTCTCATGATCTATATTTGAAAGATTAACCTTTGTCTACTAAAGTTCTTCTTTTAGTTAAATTTTATTTTCAATTTTATCATTCAACATTGATTTTATTGATAATTGGGTTGAATAATTTTTTTATTTGTTTTCTATAAGGTTATCAGAGTCTCATATAATCTAGCTAGCAAATTTGGTAGGTTAACTCAAGTTGATCCAAGTCGATCTAATATGTTGTCGTTTCAATACTTAAAAAAATAATATCATCTTTATTTTTTTTAATTCAACTATATTTTTATTGATTTTTCAGATTGTTTTTGAATCTACCAAGTCAATTAGGTCACTTCAAGACAATCTATATATAGTTTTAACTTTTTTTCTATTAAAAATACATTAACGACAATTGAATATTTTTTCTATAAAAAAATATTAATTTAACCTATAGTGAAACATGAAAAATTATCTAGTGTGTCACTATTTTATTCCTATGTTTTATTATTATATGTGCCATTTATCACACAAAAAATTCGACAGAAAGATGCAAATATGTTATTTTATTTTAACTGTCCGACATTATTGAGAGTATACTTTTTTCTTTCCTAATAAAATAAAACTAGTGAATTATTTTTTTAATAAATCTTATATTTTTATAACTGAGCGGAATAGATACACTTAACGCTAACTGTTTTTAGTAAAATTAATTTACAAATTGCATTCCAGGGCTTGGCCTAGCGGTAGAAGGGGCTTGTCTCCTTCCACTGCACCTGGGTTCGAGCCCTGGCGTGCACGCCTGTCACCCCCGCGGTGCCTTACATGCCTACTGGGTTTGCAGGGTGTTCAGTGGGCCGTGGGGATTAGTCGTGGTGCGCGCAAGCTGGCCCGGACACCCCACGTAAATCAAAAAAAAAAAAATTAATTTACAAATTATACAAATTTACAAATATAATAAATCTTATATTTTTATGAGAGAGCGGTGTATAACTCTTGATAGATCTTTTTAGTAAAATAAATTTACAAATTATACTTAACGCGAGCTGTATTTCAAAAATAGATAGCACTAACAAAGATAAATTATACCCAAAATAGATGGCAATCCACTACCACTACAAAATTTGTAATGCATAATTGCAATAATTTCTGTCACAAGTGAGGTATCTATGACTGTACATCAATATCTGTCTATGCTAAGAGAAATGAATTATCCATGTCAGAATATTTTTTCCAAACTACTGCCATACAATGCAGATAACAGGAAAATGGTATCATCATAGCTCCCACCGTTCAGTATATTATCTCGCAGCTGATGATAATTGACCACAATCTGATCTGGCAAAACCGTAGTCCTGCAAAGCGGGCATGTAGCCATGGATTGTTGTAACCATTTGTCTAAACATTCCTGATGAAATGTGTGGTCGCATTTCAATTTCCTAACCCTTTCGCCTTCCGTAAATTCCGATAAGCATACTGCACATTCTCTATATTGCGCCCGGCTGATTTTTTCACTGTAATGAAGTGTTGGATTTGTTTTTTCAATGATGTTGAGATATTGTGAGGAAATTATGCGAAAGAGTTTATCAGGATTCGTGACCTCACTTCCGGGGACGAAGGACCGGATTAGAAATAGGGCTTTGAGGAGTAAGAGATTGAAGAAGGATACGGAAATGGTGTAGAGGTGAGGGAAGGCGTTCAAGAGAGCCGCCATGGCCGGCAAGCTGCTCCTCATTAATTTGAAAGTACAAAATGGGATGGCTGATAAAGATTATATACTAGTAGTGCTAGTGCTAAACGTCATGCACACCGGTCCAGGTTCAGGTTATTCCAGGTATCGACTAGTCAACGTACAAAACGGTATGTGGTTCATGTCAGCCTGCGAACCTGTCCTCGAACATGAGATCCGATTAATCTAATGTTCCCGTTAACTTTACAAATCAGCATACCGAATTATTGAGAGAAGCCTTTTGAATTATCGAGAATGTATAATACAAGTTGCCTATTGTTTAAAGCCCACCATGCAAGTATCAAATTTGCAATTCCCAACCACTACCTACTATCTTAATTGAAAGAAACCGCACCACAACAAGGACTTGATTTTTAAGACGTAATGGCAGTTTTTTTTTTTACCACCTTAGAGGATTTTTTGGCACTTATTTGATAAACCCTTTTCTAATTAGCCAGCAAGAATTGAATTAGTAATGTAAATACTCGAATTACACATTCATTTTGCAGGACTCCCAGCAAAGAACAAGGGGTTTGAGCGTTTAGAATGTGCTACAGTGTCAACGGCCCAAGCAAGATAGGACGGTACTGGGTTAAATCCCGAGACCTTAATAATTGTTTTTCATGGACAGGACATTATTTGCCGGCATGTGACCTCCATTATTGACGGTGCCTATTAGTTCATATAGAGACAACCAGGCAGAATCTTTTCAATTTCAATAGAATGATTCGAATCCACGAACTTCAACAACTACTAAAATATCATTTTGGAGAACTGATAGCTAGCTGCTCTACGTCGTTTTAAAAATGTTAATAATTTATGTACTCCCGGGGTTGAATTTCCTGAGTGTTGGGATATTCCCATCAAAACAGCAGCAGCAGCGCGGCAGCAACAATAATAATTCATTCCTTCCTCATTAAGAAGTTGTTGAGGAAAAGACAACAAGAAGAAGAAGAAGAGAAAAAAGTATTAATAGACTAGCTTGGCAAGGATATCTGTTTGGCCAATAAGACATTGGTTTGGTTCACGCACACGCGCGCGTACACATACAATAATTTGTTGAAGTTTCAACAAGCTGTTTGATAATTAAAACGTACAAATATTAAATATATCATTAAATTATTTGAATATTATCAATTTTATATTAAAATTATTTTTATATCAATTATTTTGACTTCTTCGCTTTCACTTAACAAAAACCGTTGAGTTTTCTACAAAATAATGTTTTTTCTTAATTAAAAATACAATATGATTTTGATAAAAAAAAAATAGATGAAAAGCCTTAGAAAAAAGATGGAAGTTCTTAATTGAAAATTTCTGAGAAATTAAGGGTAAATTGAATTGAAAAAAAAAAAAACACAGTAACATCAAGACTGTTATATATAAATAAAACTTAAAATTTGGCTTTTTCTGTAATGTTTTGGTAAGGATGACATAATATTACTACTCCAATGTGTGAATGAATCCCTTGATTGAAGATTGAAAATAGGGCAGATATTAGATGTGTCATCAAATTATTGGGTTATTATCTATTCTATATATCTCAGCTATTTTTTATATCAATTTTATTATTAAATTATTGTTAGAATACTTAACTGAAATTCTTTAAAAATAATACAATTTAATTAAATGGAAATGTAGACAAGAAGTTATAAAAATAGATAAAATTTATTAATTAAGAATTTTGAAAATTTAATAGTAGAATTGATACTAAATATATTCTTAAGGTTTTATCCTTAAAAGTATCATATAAAAAACAATGTGTGTGTGTCTATATATATAATTGCTTCTTAGATCCCCCGTAATATTTATATTTTTTTCTCGAGGATTTCGTGAAGGAGGTGTCCATGAGTTTCTCGGAAACTACGGTACTATTAACATTTTATGCACATGATATTCATGTTGATAGAAGATTAATTTTGTAGTAAAACATTAAGGAAGGTGGAAATTATGATAACGTTAAAACATCAAAAACAAAGAATAGTTCATTGGCAACTCGGCCAGTCAAACATCGTTTCCCGGTTCATCTCGACATGGTGTTTCTTTATCACTACCATCATTTTTAAGTTTTTTATGGATTAATATTTTTTGGCACTTTATAAAAGACCAATTCCTGTTTAGAAGTTTTAAAAACACTGTGATAACCCATTGATAGTTTCTATCCATACCTGACATTCCCACTCTTAGTAGAATATCAAGATTAATTAACAAGAATTTAGCTAATTTCTTAGATATGAATATAAGTCAAGTCCAAATAGATATAAATATACTGAGTTACTGGATTTAATATTTCTAGACTTGATAGCATACTGAATCTAATTAAAAGAGAGTTTGATAATCTGTTGGACTCAATTTTTTTAGAATTAACTATGTGTTTAATCTGTTTGGACATGAGTTTAAAAATAAATACTTATTTTTTTATTCATTCTAATTATTTATTTAAAAATTACTATTTTATTATTTGAGAATCCATAAATTCTACTAAAAAAATTATTTTATATGTCATAGACTTTTTACAACCAGCTACCAGTTTGATAAGTAATGGCTAATATATACTTGAGCTAACATCGTATTTCATTCGTGTTCTGACCAGTTTGGAGCTGATCATAACTAGTTAGAGGTATGGAAGCGTCCTAGAAAAACTACCTCTTCAATTATACATTTCCTAATTAATAAAATGACGTGCATGCTTCATTATTTTTATCTTTAAAAGCAGAGCCACTTCTTATAATGCGGCTCCGGCTGTTGCTATGTCCTGTAAGTGACCAATATAAAATACATGTCAATGGAAAGTTCTTGCACCTCATGTTGCGGCCACGCTCCACCATCCTGGATGCATCGCCTTCCCCATTAACAATATGCTCATACGTGCATTTCCTACATCATCCAATATAATAGTTTTTTTTTCTTTTATTTATTTTGAGTGGTTAAGGTGTTCTTTTTATACAAATGTTATTTAATAAATTATATAATTGTATGGATGGTTAAAAATGTTGTCAACTACAAAATTTTAAAACATGAAAAAAGTTATATCCACTAATTAAATTAGAGCACTATAACACAGTTGAGATTTGTCTTAACTACATGACGTTTTCAATTGATTTTCTTATTTCGTAATTAAATCAACTAACAGATAAAAAAGAATATAACATAGCGGGAAAAAAAGGGTAATATGGTCAAAGAAACAAGAGTTTAGCTAGCTCATAACTCTTATTTGTTAGCTGACTAATTTAATTTAGGTTCAGTGTATATGAAGTTTGTAAATTGAGTTAAGTTATTTTTATTTTTATTTTTAATTTAAAAGAAGCTATAAATATGATTGGTTAGAAGCAAGTTTTGATACAATCAAATGGCAGTCATGAAATCGACACAAACGTTTGATTTAATTAAAAAATAAAATCTTAATTTCTAATTTATTGATTCTAAGTCACCAACTCCTTTTTTTTTAAAAAAAAAAATTTGCTTTAGTGATTTTTTTTACTAATAATGTAACGGCTTTTTTTTATAAAGTATTTATAAAATTATAACTTTTTAAAATTATGAATTAAAATCAAAAGTTACTTTTAATAAGCCATACAAAATAACAAAAACAACTAAAATGGAAGGCAAAATCTATGTAGCCTTGTAATGACCATTTTGTCTTTTTCAAGAAAAAAAATACATGCAATTGAATTAGGAGTATTTTTATATCTTTAAATTAGAAGTATTTTTTATATTTTCATATAGTATGTTAGTCGTTATTAATTTATTTGAGGTATTTTAGTCTATTTAATATATAGTAAAGTAACAAAAATATCTTCAATGATAAAAAAATTAACATAGCCCGGGCAAGGGTATTTCAATATTTTTATTTTTAAAATAGTAGAATTACATATATGCCTTTTAGTCGGAAAAATAGCGAATTTAGGACAAATTTTCAGCAACCCTCTATTCCCTTATCTTTCTTAGCCTTTCTTTGCCAGATTTCAGCTAAAGAAACAACTTTGTCTCCTTCTTTCATCTCTTCATATTTCTCTCCCTTCACTGCCAATCATCATAGCGTTATCAACCACCACAAAACACATTTTTCGCCTCCTCGATCACAACCCTCCCACAACAAAGCACAACCCAAACCACTTACCACCACCTTCTACCGATCAGCTCCACCAAAACCCATCCAAAAATGGCATCGCTATCAACGAACAATGATGATAGTAGTAGCAGTAGAAAAAACACGTGAAGAGAGAAGAAAAACCAAAAAACCAGAACTTTCCTCTGTCCGATTTCCCTTCTCAAGTGGCGGTGGACTTCATCACCGGTGTAGGGAGGAAGAAACGAAGATGGCATTCCTGAGCTGAAAAGAGACGCGCCCCAATAGTGGTAGAGTGCAGCCCCGCACGTCGAAAATAGGGACAACACATTAAGCCACGCAACTTCATTGTTCCAGTGCACTTCCAACAGTCTTCGGCCTAAGTAAGCAGCTAAAGGTTTGTTTTTGTTTTATCAAGTAATCAACCCAAGGATGGTATATTCCTCATAAAAATCCTGTCCTCGAGAAGTTAGAACTCCATTATTTTTTGAAATATAAATAAAGGATTTTATTTTTGTTTTTTATGGAAGAGTTAATCCAAGAATGATCCATTCCTTATAAGAATCTTGTTCTCCATAAGTTACAACTTTATTATTTACACATGAAAGTCAAAACTTTGTTTTGAAAAATGTTCTATATGAATTTGTTAAAATATAATATAAATTATATATTAAAACTTTATATAATAATTTAAATTATGAGGTTAAATTAGGTTTTTAATATAATATTAAAATCTTGATGACCTAGTCATAAATTTAAATCTCACTATTTTTATTTATTTAATAAAAATTAAATATATAATAATATGAATTTATGTAGGTTTCAAATTTAAAAAACTTAAGGTTATTTATTAAAAAATAATATAAATCATATTTTAAAATTTTATCTAATAACTTAAGTTATTAAATTAAATTAA